CTTGGAGTGAGTTGCAGTAAAAAATAGAGGACGTATGTCCTTCAGCGGTCTATGTAGAAGCTTGGATTCGCGGAGCACAAATGATGATTTGATTGATTCATTCATTTGGAAGCTTGCAATCATCTGAGCGGTCCAAACGGAGAGGAGGCTCAGATAGTTGCACGTATGTATCTACCATACGAGTATTTCTTCGGAGTCACGGAGATAGTTCGAAGGCTCTTGGGGAAACACAACATTGGAACGGTTTTCAAAACCACCAAGAAGATACAACAAAGCTCCAGGTCAACTGAAGACAAAAAAAACTTCTATCGGCAGAAGTAGTATATGACATACCGTGCACTCGTGGAAAGGTATACATCGGAACCACCAAGAGATCCATGAGAAGAAGGCTGAACGAGCATGGAAGAAACTGCAGTCGCAGACAGAATTGGAAGGCTCTTGGAAAAACACAGCATTGAAACGGTTTCCAAACTCACCAAGGAAATACATCAAAGCTTCAGGCCGGCTAAAGACAGAAGATCTTCTATCAGGGATGGAAAGGTGTACATTGGAACCACCAAAAGATCTATGGAAATAAGGAGCTTGGACGAAACTGCAGTCGCGAACAAAATTGGACGGATCTTGGAAAAACACAGCATTGAAACGGTTTTCAAACTCACCAAGGAAATACATCAAAGCTTCAGGTCGGCTAAAGACAAAGTGTAGAGATTCTAAGTCACGTTAGTTCACGACGTTTCGATTGTTGGTATCTACAATCGTCTTCGGGGTCATCACCCGAAGATCTATGGAAACAAGGAGCATGGACGAAACTGCAGTCGCGAACAGAATTGGACGGATCTTGGAAAAACACAGCATTGAAACGGTTTTCAAACTCACCAAGAAATACATCAAAGCTTCAGGTCGGCTAAAGACAGAAGAGACCTTCTATCAGGGACGGGAACGTGTACATCGGAACCACCAAAAGATCTATGGAAACAAGGAGCATGGACAAAACTGCAGTCACAGGCAGAATTGGAAAGCTCTTGAGGAACACAACAATCACCACAAATCCACCAAAAAGATGAAACAAAGCTTCAGGTCGGCTAAATACAAAAGAGACCCTTCTATCAGCAGCATGGGTGGAAACGTGTACATCGGAACCACCAAAAGATTCATGGAAACAAGGCTGAAGGAGCATGAAAGAAATTGCAGTCACAGGCAGAAATGGAAAGCTCTTGAGGAACATAACATTGAAACGGTTTTCAAACTCACCAAGGAATACAACAAAGCTTCAGGTCGGCCAAAGACGAAAGAGATCTTCTATCAGCAGCAAGGGTGAGATGGTATACATCGCAACTATCAAATTCTCCATGGGAACAAGACTGAAGGAGTATGAAAAAAATAAACCTGAAGGCTAGGCGAAAAGAAGACTTCGGCTGTTGCGAAGCACGCACTCAGTGAAGGAAATCACAGGATTCTAGTTGAGAACACGAAACTCATTACTCCCAAATAGGGATACCATAGCGGACAGGTACGGGATGTCATTATATTAACAAACACACGGATAATTTCAGTAGAAAAGAAGTGCTGTGAACCTCAACCGAATGTGGAATCCCATTTTAAGAAGTTCAAGAATAACAAGCATGATAACCCCAGTTAGAAAAGGGTCAACAAATGGTACTGACCATTTGCAAGAATCAGCACAACAAACTACCTGATTTTATATAAATACGTTTTACGCAGTCGCGATACCCAATCATCGGAGATGAACTAAAGATGTATGAATCTACTGAGGAAGCTAGCCACGCGCGCCAGTGAAAAGTCAGGAAGAAATTCCATGAATCGACGGCCTTTAAACTCGAATGAGAATTGTTCAGTAAAGACATTTGTCCTTCCAACTGCGTATTTCCCTTCATTACAATAAATACCCCAACCAAGACGAACCGTGCGAATATTTTCAGTTTCCAAGCTCTCCCGATTCTCCATTAGCAAACTTTCTATACGTGACTAAGCATTATAAGAAATCCCAATGACACGAATCGAACGCACTTCCTCTGACCTGTCACTGGAATCACTCTTACATGACAATTACATTAAAAGACAAGTAGTTTTTCGAGTTTTTCTTGGGCTTGGGATGCATTTCCTTAAGTACTACTCATTGTTACGCTTACAAACAATACTTAATGTCACTAATTATAATGCTATCTTAATGATTTCAGTTGTAGAAGTAAGATAATTGCTCGCAGGAATTAGATTTTCTAAGTGATTTATATTTTCATTTGTTTTTTGTTGCGGACGGGAATAATTGCACTTTGTATGCATTTATGCTGAAACGGCCTCTTCCGTCATCATTAGAGTGGAACAGTATCGTTTGGAATCGGGAAAAGTCAACGAAAACTGCGACATAAACGAGTGGGAGCCATACATAGACTTGGGAAATAATTCCAAACAAGACTCAACGCTGTATTGAAGACAAGGTCTTTGAATTTTCATGAAGCCAAGAAAATAAAGTCCGAAGATCAGCAATAACGTTCCTTCGTCATTTCAAATTTTGATATTGACTCCTTCAATAGAGTATTCATGTAATCTGTGAACCTTTTTGAGGCGTCTTAATCAATTACAAGCGTAATGAGGAATATCATTCAGCATGAGTGTGCTGAAAAATAATTTCAATGACTTTTCAGTGAAATTCTGTCCAGGATCCCCAATATTGAGTGATACTCATCTTAAATTTCCTTGGGGAGTTGAGTATTTCTACTTAGGTCGCAACTAATAGCTGACTCAACGAAATTTTGATATCCTTGACAATGCTACATCAAGAAGATTCATATAATGTTGATGTGAGGAACGACAAACACATGTCTGTCTTCACATTCAACATTTAACAAAGCCATGGTTATGGTTGATCTGCACAAACATTTTCACACTGTACCTTCTTCTATTCATCCAGGTCTTTGATGAAAAATAAAAGTAGTTGTGAGAATATGGATCAGCTTAGATGACAATACGAGTAGATAGATCATGTCATTTAAATCATCAATCGCCTCTAAGGATCGATCTCGTAGAAAGCTTTGAACCAAAGCGTTTTGTCAAATCGAAGTTCAATTAATATAATTCTATTATAGATGTTTGAGAAGAACTTGGTAGGGTCTATCCTAGAAATTTGCAAAGCAAAGATGAATGTCATATAAGAAAGGGTTATCTGCGGTCCAATTTTTTCATTTCATCTCTGGTTTGGTGGCCAAAGATGAAGCAGGCGACCGCTATCAACAAACCTCCTTTATACTCTACCTCCTTTATACTTTATGATAATGGGAGAGGCCAGGAACGGAAATTTCGAAACATGTGGTGGAGCACATATTGAATACGTTAACGAATCACATGACACCGAAATACACCTTTAACACAAATTTCACGGCTGAAGCATAAACTGTGGACGACCATTAGTCATCCCGAAAACATGTTTAGAAAAAACACCTGGTATAAAGATGGATCGAAGACCAAATATATACCGAGCAGATATAAATTTAAACTACAGTTATCCGCTAGGACTATACACATCCGTCTTTCAGACGGAAGTGTATGCTATCTTGGATTGTGCGAGGCTTAGTCCGGCCGTACAAGGACCACATATTTGCAGTTGAGGCAACCACAATATTGTGGTCACGTTGAGTGCACTTCGCGGTTGAACCAACCAAATTTTTGTGGTCAACTTGCGGTCATATAAACCGCACTTGCAGTTGAGATAACTGACATCAAAAAATTGAATGCTGTGAGACCAATATGAGAAGAAGTACACCACGGTGTACGCGGTTGGGTACGACTGCAAGTTTGTGGTTAGTGTACGGCGGATGCCGCGATGACATCTCGGCGGAGATCAGCAGCAAGTTGACTGCAGACGTCCGTTTTGACTTTTGAGAACGCCCGTGTACGTGTAGTACAGTATTTCTTATGGGCGGTTTGAGTTCGCTGGAACGCGACTGCAATTGTGTGGTCGATTCGACCGCGAAATGTGGCTCGTGTACGGGTGCTCTTACTGAATTGAGACCTCAAAGAGATGAGTGGAGCAATATTTTAACAGACAGCAAGAGCACACTAGGGGCTGTAACAAACCCGAAGGTGACATCAAAACTGGTCTGGAAATGCCATGAAGAACTGAATGAACTTGAAAACAGGAACAAATTAACTTTGTACTGGGTGCCAGGGAATTCAGGAATCCCAGGTCATGATAAAGCTGATGAATGCGCTAGATGCGGATCACCAACTTCATATATTGGTCCTGAACCAGCTCTGGGGGTACCAAAATCATTGGTACGACACCATATTAGGGCAAGGACCAATAAGAAGCACCCAGAGTACTGGACAAAAGTACCTGGCAACAAACACAGTAGAACCTTCATTAGGGAACCATCCGAGAAAAGAACCGAAGAACTACTTCAATGTAGTAGGGATCGGCTCAGAATGATTACATGGTTACCAGTCGGTCATTGTTCGATTAGAGAATACCTGAATAAAATGGGGCTGTACAAGAAGGAAGAAAACAATCTTCAGCCGTTTCTAACAGAAAAATACCATGTGGGATTTAACATCCCTAATTCACCTTCTAGTTTTCCGATAGTTTTGGTGAAAACAGAAGGTTTATGGACTCAAAAATATTTTTGAATTGAAATTTTGCAGTACCTATGGGATTCACTCTATAATCTAGTGTAGACTTTCACTAAAACTTTGAATTGACAGCTTACTGATTCATAGTCTGGATTCTGGAAATTCACAGGTTGAAAAATAAACGTCGGTATGTTTTTTCCAGAATACCTGGAAATGGAAAATTATGAAGATCGTTAGTTCCCCCCCAAAACCCTCATTCAAACCTGTCTTCCCCGTCCCAACGCAACATAAAACTAACGTTTTCGCAAACTCAATTTACCGGTCCGCGAAACAGCCAATCACAGAGAGGTAATAGTCACTTGTTTCGCAAGAGAACCGGTGAATAGAACATAGTAGGCGAGAGAAGGCCCGCGGGGTCGCTCATGTACGCCGTGCAGCTAATTATAATAGTGTTCGGGGGGTTGTCACGGTGCATCGCGGTGGGGGTAGAGGGGGGCGGTCACCACCGACCTCACGCAGTCTCTCACGTCGCCCACGGAACCGCTGTCCTGCACACACATTGTTACACTGAACCTTCTTCTACCCGTACGGGCCGCTGCTAGTCGCGAAAATCCAGTGTGTCGTGCGTGCGAACAATTGAAGTCCGTGACTTTCGCGCCGCGTTCGAAAAGTGCGCTGCGGCGTCTAAGACGAAAAACAATAGACGACACCACCTGTGGCACGGCCGTCTTTATTGTCTGATGTCAGTTTCGTTATCCTCGTGCGGGCGACTTCGGCGCTCGGTGCATAATTAATTCGACTGTCTTTACGCATACAGAGTTATTCAAATTTAGTGGGCCGATCAAAGTGTGGGCGTTCAAGATGGAGGAAGGATGGGAGTCCCACGTATCCCCTTTGATGATGGGCGTGGGGATGGGTGAGATGCAAAGTATGGGAGATATGCACTGCAGGGACGACATGAATCTGTCGCAGCATCATCAGGAAATGGGGCAGGATATCGAGCAGGATTTGGGACAGCACCACCACCACGATGGTTTAGGTGGCCCAGCTGGGGATTATTACTCACATCAGGTGAGGACTGAGGGAGACAATTTGGGATTAATCCATTAAATAATACAAAAATCACGCTCACAATAACAATGTTTATGAATATTTGTGTTCTACGTTGCCAGCAACAACTGAGTCGTCAGGAAAGTCAAAAGTTTTGGAATTTTTCAGTTCTATTTTGCGCTGAAATGAATTTTCCAGTGTTCAACTGACTTTTTTCTTTGAACTGCTTAGAATACATGAAATAATGGAAAAAATGTTGATTTGGTACTTTGAAGAAGTTGTTTTAAACAAAAAAAAAACAATTGACAATGATTTTCAATTACAAAGACGAAAGTTGCGACATTTGTTCATCTCCAGGATATGAATCCTCACAATCATTGATTATTACAATGGATAGAGCTGATGTAGTTGCATAAAAGATCAATTGCAAATATTCTACGCGGAATGAACTAAATTCCGTTTAGGAGAAGAATAGTGTAAAAATAGAGCCGCTGGAAATTATGTGGCTTCTATTAATAGAAAGATTTCAAGTAATGAAAATACTGGGTAAATACAAACCAGATATTGAATGAATTTGTTTTCATCAACATTAACGTCCAATAGACAAAAGCTATCATACACTTTTCAGGACTTTTCCTGCTGCAATAACTATTCGCAAGGAACATAGTCATGAAATATTTCATTGAATGAAAAACAATCAACTGATTTTTCACTAACCATATCAAAAATAGTTTCTTTAACGACAGTAACAAATCATAAACTAGCAAAGGCAGGTATTACTAATCATAAACTGATACTACAGTTGATATTTTGCATAACTGGGAATAGAGTGACTAATATGGGAAAAAAATTGTATTAATTATATACCCGTATTGCATTACACAGAAATAAAGTTATTAATGGTCATGAAGAAAAGAGAATTGGTGGTCATAAACATAGAAAGTTTCAATTCTCTTTTCTTCATTATGATTTCCTACCACGTAGTAAGGGCTATATCCATAAATTTTTTATTAACGGTCATTAACATAGGAAAATTCATAGTTTTTCATTGGAAGAAGACAAATTTCATTGATTTTTATATGATGAAATGAAATAACATAGTATTAATATAGATGTAGCTTCAAAAATGACAATCCACTTGTCAATTATGCTTGATAGTTTTGACATCATCATCATTTTGTAAAATATTGTTTTTTAATTATCAGTCCCATAGTACATTTTCTCTATTGACTTTACTGCGTTCATTTTAGTATCCTGGAGAAGTCTCAATATCGAGACGAAAGGTTGACATGTTGTGAAAATTAAAACTTTATCACAAATAACTCAATATATATGGAAAACTGGAATTTGGTTGGTATACTCACATACAGAGACAGAGACAGAGAGGTTTTGGAACGATTCGAACGATCAGTTTTGCAAAGAAGTTCATTACAACGAACCCTGTAGCTCTGTTCCACCAGCACATTTGTCGTACTGGCTCCATTTTCTTCGAGTAGTTATGCAAAAACCTAATTCGGGAAAGTTACAAACCAAATCAGGAACATTCAAGTGTTCTATTAAAATCCTCCTCGTTCTGAAACCCCGAAGAAAGTCGAGGCAGTATCTCATATAATAGGAAAATCTCGTCGTAAATTAACATTCGCCTTGAGGTAACCACAATTCCTCCGATAGCGAAGAAAGTTGAGGCAGAACCTGGAAATATAACAACACAAAATACGAAACAAGTTCGGAGTTTGATATAGAAACGGGTAATTACAGGTACATGTAGAATAATGTTCTCGAGTTTGAAGTGCTTTGAATTAACAACAGTTCCGTGAAACTACGACATTGTTGATTACATCATTTCATACTTCTCTTGATAATGCCCTAGATATGTTTGTAGTTCACCTGCGTTCATGGTGGGGATCCTTCGTCAATCTCTTGCATATTGAATTACGTCAACATCTGTGTTTGAGTCTGAATCAAATTATGTTACTGACATCTAGCTAAAACGAAGTCTTTTGAAAAACAATAATCGCGACAATAATTATTTTGCAGAAGTGACTGGACTAAATTTAATTTATTTCATTTTATTCAATATTTTGTATCCAAACAGACCAATCTGGTCTAATAACATAGATAAAATATATACAATATTTCATGTGAAATAATATTAATATTATAATCAAAACATCTGTATCTGCATCTGGAAAAGTGACCCATTGTACATCCTCTCTAGGAGTTATCCTCCTAGATTAGTGGTCGCGAGCTACCGGTAGCTCGCGGAGGCAATTCTGGTAGCTCTCACAACCATTTTAATTCAAAAAATACAAACTGCAAAAATCAGAGAAGCTTCCGAAAATTCCACAAAAAAATCTAATTGTCATAATATTAAACATAAACAGCGGCAACGTTGCGGTGAGCGATCTGCCGCTGACGCCATCAACCTAGAATCGGCTAGAACCGACCAGCCGGACCAGCGCGTTAGTGTTCGAGAACGATCTGGATTGCTTTGAACGGGATAAATACGCACGGCGCGGCGACATTGCGCTTAGTTTAAAACTGAACGCGTAACCAACGT